AGCTACAGTATAATAGTGAATTACTTTCCGGAAAAGTTTAGCAGATAATTCATGAAATAAAAGAAATCCAGGAAAGCTTAACCCAATTACTGTGCTTTTCAGGATTTGCTTTTCTTCAGAAAAGTTCAACCTTATGAAAAAATTCTATTTATCTGTTAACTACCTATTTATTTTTGGTATTTTCACAGAGAAATTGAATAATTCTCATCTCTAAGAATATACTTTAAAAAATATACTGCTGCATAATTTTCTTTAGTTTTTAAATCACTTTTGAAGAAATGTAAGATCAGGAATCTCATATGTTTGGAATTTAGAAACACTTCATGTTGAAAACATGGATTAGTGTTAAATGAGCGTGAAATACATCTAATCATATTAATACAGTAAAACTTTAACATTCTCTAGAGGTATGGCTGACTAAAAAAGAGATTTACTAAGATCTTTAAATATTTAAAGATATATACTAATCACTGGGATAGGTAAACAAAGAGTAGTCCTTGTCCTAACAATGTTTACAGTGTGTGTAGGGATGCCAGACACACACATTATGAAAAGTTACCTACAAGTACCAGCCTAAACAACACCTCCCCAATGAATGAAAAGTGTAAACTCTACTTCAATAATTCAGAGATGAACAGTGTCAACGTTTCATTATGGGAGTCAGCAAAGAACTTCTAGGGAATATCAAACATTTTATTGAATTTGAATAAAAGAATAGGAGGTTCAAATAGGTGAGAAAGGCCTATCAGACCGGCGAAGGTGTTTTATGAGTATGAAATGTAGAGAAGAAAGTGGGAGAGTATTACTAATGGGAGCCAAAACTAACAGAGATGTTGCAGCCAAATATGGGGGGACCTGAGTGGTTTCCCCAAAAGTTTGAAGCAGCAGAAATAGGAGCTCATTTAAGTTTTGAGGATAGTTACACGACCAAGTGCAATGCAACAATCTTTAATTGATCAAGGAATGACAGGTAATTTGATAGAGATGCAGCCTGGAGGGGTGTAGGTCAGTTAGGAGACTGTGATGCACAAATGAGGTGATAATCTAGGGTGGGGCAGTGAAATTTGGAAGGAAGAGAAGAAAGTTAAAGAACTAGTGATCTTTTATACTCAATAATATTTATAAAGCCAGGGGGAAAGAAGAATCAAAGATAACTCAGCTATCTGGGTAAAAAGAAGAATTAGAGAAATTAGGTAAAGGTCTTGGTCAGTTGGTTTGCTTGTTTGTTTTATAGGAGAAAAGTTTAAGTGGAACATTGCATTTAAGTGGAAGAAAGGCTTAGGTGGGGCAGTTCAGTGAGCAGTAGTTAGAAATATGGCCCTGGAACATAAGAGAGAAGTGAAGGCTGCGGGTAAATCTATTTGAAGCCCTGGAGCTGGATGTCAACTCTAACAAGATAAAGATGTCTAAATATAGGTGAGGTTAATATCAAAGGAAGGTTTTCCGGGCATATGAATTTTAACTATCTGTTTAAAGACAGATTCTCTAAGATGATGTGGTATATATCATCCTTGCAAGCATTAGATCTAACACTCCTGCCATGAACCCAGTGAAGGATGAATATAATGGAATACAATGCAGATAAAATACACTAAGCTGCACAATCGTGATTTATCTTATGGAGGCCGGGAGTCACTCTGTCCTTAGCATGGTTAGCAGCCCAGAATAGGTTCAGGTATTCAGGTGTCCAGATCTCAACCATGTTAAGTGAACTATTATCTTAGTTAAGCACCTTAAGCTAAATTTCAGCATCTCATTCGTTAAGCAAATCTATGATTATGGAATTAGAGCTCATATATGTCAGGGAGAGAAACATTTCTGATTTAAGACACTGAAATATCATAATATGTCTTTTCTAGGTGACATGGGCTAAATCCATGTGTCTGGTGTAATTCTGAGCAAAAAGGAGAAACCTAGCCTAAAATGAGTATTCACATACTTAATGTGAATTTTCATTGAAAATGTTTGTAGAACTTCATGGAGAAATTACATATTTAAAAGTGGTCATTGATTTTACATAGATATGGTCTGAGACAAAAATTAATATGTAGTTCTAGCTGTAAATTACAGTTCAAAGGATAAATGATAACTAAAATGAGTGATAGAGGTAAATTGAGGACTCCTCTAAAACATTTCTTTACCTAAAGAAAATAGTTCTTTTTGGTAAAGTATACAAAGAGTTAAAGATTGGTAGGTTTGATGATTATATACATACAGACATTATAAAAACAAGGAATTTTTTATATCTACAGAGGGAAATAAGTTCACTTGTACATGATTTGGTAGGTAAAAATTTATAATGCCACTTTAAAAGATGTACAGGTAAAATAGTGTTTACTATTTCTAACAAATATGTTTGTGCTTCTATTTGGTGATATAAGATTCAGGATAGCATAATAGCTAAGAACATGGGTTTTAGATTCAGATTTCCTATATATGAATTGCAGTTATTGAGCAAATTATTTAACTATAGTGTACCTCTGTCCTACTCTGTAAAACAGTACCTACCTAATAGGACTGTTAGGAGAATGAAATGAACTAATATATATAATGAGGTTAGGGAGTTCCCAGCACATGGTAAGCATCATAAGTTAATTTTTATATTACCATTGTTATTAAAAAATTTTATAATGGAATATAGTTACCTCAGTAAACTTTTCTCACTCTTTAAATGTGCCTCATTGCTGTTCTTGAATTGATGACTGATATTAATTGCTATTATAGGCTCTTAGTCAATATAGTCCAATGTTAACTAAAATTTAGGCAATAGTTTTCTCAATATTGTTTGAAGTGTACTCACAGGGCAAAGACCTTGTGATAAGGCTCAAAAGGTGAAGAGTTGGGTGAATGTATATGAGAAAAGGGCAAAGAAAACCTGAAGTTTACATTGAATAAACATAAAGAAAAGCAATGACATTTCAAAGATGGGAGTTGTCAAAAGATTTCAAATAAGGGATGATGCAAAATTTTCTGGAGAGGGGTTGTTTCTTCCATCTTTGAACACTGGGTGAAGAGCTGCCTAATTTACCATCTCTCACCTCCCAAAACGGGGGGAGAAAAACATAAAAGCCACTTGCCTAGCCAGGCTCTGAGAGCCACTGCTGTGGCATCTGTTGACTATCCAGAAATCTCAGAGTTGTCCTAGACAGGTGTTCTCTACCATCTTGAGGCTGAGAGGTTCAGAGACGGTCATACAGCTAGTCAGCTGGTCAAGAAGAGTTTAGACCAGTTAGTTTATTTTCTTTGGGGCCCTTAAAAAAATTCCTAGCCATAAAAATACCCCATTCCTCACGTCTAAGATATGAATAGAAAGGAATGGTGCTTTCTAAATTTACTATGCCTCCCAATTAAATAAATTTCTAGTTTAAGAATATGTGGATCAAGAATGCTGCATTTGATTTTCCCTATACAGAGTAGAAATGAAATAAAAACCAATGGTCCAGGCCTAACTAAGACAATATATTTGACATTGTTAACTATTAGGTGTTAATCAGTAAAAAATTCTGTAACTGCTCTTTTACCCCCAGCTTCTTCTTTTTGTGTGTATGTGTGATTTCTGCTTCCTCTCAACTAAGTTGTTGTGTTTCTTACATCAAAACTCAACTTATAAAATTATGTACTATGAACTTAATTGAAATCTATTACATGATGAAAAGTTATGACAACAGTATTTCAGAATCAAAAAAAGAGAAGGTATCTAATTTCTTGAAGATTACCAGGTCATTTAATAATTAACAAGTTGTATTATATACCTATAGTGATTTTTAGCATTTGTAAATAACTAGGGTAAGAGAATAAGTTTTTAACCAGTATATTAATGGATGAGGTTATGCTTCTCTGAATAATCAAGATGAAACCATTTTGTAAGGTTTTATACTTTGATTGGTACAGATTAGATTTTGGTCTTCTTTATGTTCAATGAACATTTTACAGATATTACGAACAAAAGAAGGCAAAAAATAGGCTTATAAACTTTTCTTTGATAAAAATAATTGAGCATGAAAATTCAAATACTATGTCACTATAGAAGCAGTATAATTATAAACAAAAATACATCAAAGTAGTTGTAGGAAATATCTTAATAATAATATACACGCAAGGTGAATGTATTAACATTTTTTCAAGAGCTTTAACTTAGCCCTTAGATTTTCAGTGCCCGCTGAAACATCATTATTTTTAAAAAATGAATAAAACAAAACTTTGGAAACTTACTCCAAGATAAGAGGCTAAGAAAATGCCATAGTTTTGTTTTGCTAACATTTAATTATAAAAAATATTATGAAAGAAGTATTTTACAAATAAAAATGTGGCACTCCGTTAGTAATAAGCATAAGAAAATAGCAAATCTACACCTTGCACAAATACACTTTATATCTGTCTAGTATTCTTCATATATGATATGAATGATCATAAATTAAAGGCCTAACTAGTCTTTTACTTGTTCAAGGGTAGGTGCCTTCAAAATGTCAATGTATAAAAATGTTTTCTCTGCACTGCCAGGTTGGGTGGTAAATACATGGGCATTATATGGCTATAGTTATTTTGAGGACTATATTTATTGAAGTTTTAACTAAATCACATGACACAACCTCTATTTACAGATCTGTGAGTATAGTAAGATTTCTAAGGATAGATTTTTATTTAATATAATTAACAAAGACTTCAGACCTTTATGTAATCATATATATTTATGGCTTGTAACACTTTCTAGGAAGTATAAACCATTCAATATATTGCCACTAATATTGTAAATGTGAAATAAAAATTGAGAAGGTTGATTAGTTGATTGATATGTAAAAATTAAAACTAATAAATTGGATACAATAATTATGTCCTTTGCACTTGATATAATCTCTCACTAAATACAACTGTAAATATATATATATACACAAACATATATGTGAAAAAAATATATATATATATTTGAACATACAGATATAAGATATATTTAGTTACATCTAAAAGAGCTGATGAGCCTATAACAAATGCAGATAACTAACCTGGTGTTCCCCCTCCGTTTCCATTGACCACAGGCCTCTCTTCTTCTTCCTCCTCAGGAGGCTCTATACTTGCTTTCTCCATGTTGCTCACTGACTTATTCCTCTTCCGTTTTCCTTCAGCACTCGCAGTGGCTCCTGGAAGTATCTGGTCTGTTACATTTAATAATAATGGTGCTGGTTCTGCTGGAGGCTTTGGGGTACCGTAGTAGTTGTCTGCAAACAATACCAAAACATTATGGAGTTAAACATTTTTCCTACTATGTACATAACTTCTAAAAAATGACAAACTTGTACCCTATTTTATATATATATATGTATTTTGTGCACATACATATATCTGTATGATTTTTTATCTTTTTTGAACTTCATTTGTTACTTCTATTGTATTGAGCTTTAGTACTTAAAGAGAGAGATCTCTCTTCATTCTCACCTTTGTGCCAAACCAAAATATAATCTTAAGTATTAGTCTCAAATGGTATAATGTAATTTCAAAATTACTTAAAACTTTAAAAAAATATGTTTTATTGGTTCAAGATGGCAGTATAGGTAAGAACAGTACTCGTGGCCTCCCACAACCACATCAAAACTACAACTAAAATGCAGAACAACCATCACTCAGAGCCTCCTGAAATCTAGCTGAACAGAAGCCTTACAACCAGGGAACTGAAGCAGCACCAAGACCGGTACGAGGGGCGGAGACGCGGGTGGAATCTGGATGAAATGGGGGACATGGGCTGGTTCCATACTCAGGTGCCACAGTTTAAAACTGGGAGGGATATCTTCGGAGTGGTTTTCCAGAGAAGCAAGGGGTCCCAGCCCCACATTAGGTCCCACAGCCCAGGGTTCCAGTGGTGGGAAGAGAAGTCCCCACAATTTTGAACTGTAAAAACTAGCAGGAATTCTGGCTGAGAGAGCAGAGGCTACTGGAGTTCCAGGCATCTCCCCTTAAAATGCTGGCTCAGGGACTCACTCAGAAGCGCTCCCTCTGAGCTCCAGTGCTGGGCAGCAGCTTGAAAAGAACCTGGGACATTCGGGGAGGAATTAACTTGCCTGGAATCATGGAAAGAGCTGGAGGGGCAGTTTTCTCACAGACAGAAAACTGGTAGAGTTCTTGCTCCTTTGGCAAGCCTTCCTACCACAGAGCCTGCAGGAAGACACCTTTTCTGAATCTTCATCAACCTGAATCACACCTTTCACCCAACCCTGGTGATTCCCTGAGACCCAACCCCTCCTTACTTGCAAGCTCATCCAATCCATTTCCAGTTACTTTTCTATGCAAGTGGCCTCTCTAACCCCATGCTTAGGATATTCCTAAAATCCCTCAAACAAGCAGAATCTGGCAAGCATGCCCCATACCTCTCGATAAGTGGCCCCAGACCTGGCACTAGCAACAGCCTACATTGGTTCATGGTTTGGCCTCTCTTGAACAACTCCAAGACCAGCACAAGTAGCAGCCATTTATGGACTGCTGTGTAGCTCAGGTTTGGTGGCCCTGGGCAGGGCACAGGAAGAGGCTGACATTGCACCTCCCAGGAGGTCCCAGAGACAGTGCACCAAGTGGTCAGCTTCAACCACACAAGATTAAAACCCTACCACATCCACCAGTGACACATTCAAGGGGCAGACTTGGTGAACACCAAAGCTCCACTGAAGTAAATCCTGCTCCATAAGGATGTCTCCAGCACAGCAGCTCTTTGGCTGTAGCTACAGCTGGTCCTCACAGCCGATTGGCTGGGGGGTCAATTCCTCCCAGTGATGCCAACAGCAACCAAAGCTCAACTACAACAGGACAGTGCACACAGCCCACACAGGGGAGCACCTGGAAGGCCCAGCTCAGGTGACTGGGGAGGCTGAGCCACTGGACCCTACAGGACACCTACTACACAAAGCCACTCTACAAATTCCAGGAGACATAACAGCTCTACCTAATATATAGAAACAAATACCAGAAAGCAGCTAAAATATGGAGGCAAAGAAACATGTCACAAAGGAAAGAACAGAAGAAATCTCCAGAAAAAGAACTAAATAAAAGGGAGCCAAGCAAGCTACTAGATGTAGAGTTCAAAACAATGATTATAAGGATGCTCAGGGACCTTAGTAAGACTATTAAGGAAACTAGTGAGATCATCAATGATATAATAAAGAACCAGTCAGAAATGAAGGCTACACTAACTGAAAGGAAGAATAATTTACAGGGAGTCAACAGTAGAGTAGAGGATACTGAGAATCAAATCAGCAATTTGGAATGTGAGGAAGCAAAAAACACCCAACCAGAAGAGCAAAGAGAAAAAAGAATCCAGGAATATGAAGATAGTATAAGGAGGCTCTGGGACAACTTCAAGAGGCCCAACATTCACCATATGGGGGTTACAGAAGGAGAAGAAAGAGAGCAAGAAATTGAAAACCTACTTGAAAAAATGACAGAAAACTTCCCCTACTTGGGGAAAGAAATAGACTTACAAGTCCAGGAAGCATAGAGAGTCCCAATCAAGAAGAACCCAAAGAAATCCACAGCAAGACACATCATAATTAAAATGCCAAAGGTTAAAGACAAAGAGAGAATCTTAAAAGCAGCAAGAGAAAAGCAGTTAGTTACCTACCCATACGACTGTCAGCTGATTTCTCAACAGAAACTTTGCAGGCCAGGAGTGGCAAGAAATATTCAAAGTGATGAAAAGCAAGCACCTACNACCCATATGACTGTCAGCTGGTTTCTCAACAGAAAATTTGCAAGCCAGAAGGGAGTGGCAAGAAATATTCAAAGTGATGAAAANNAACAGTATTACATGAAATGTTGAAGGGTCTTCTTTATGAAGATGCTAATGAAAAAAAGAAACTGACAATATAGATCCAGAGACACTGATGCATGCAATGGATGATCATATTTCAGAGGAAAGAGGGAATGGGGATGGAGGGTGGGAAGAGATTAACCAAAGAAGTTATAGGCATATATGCATAGCCCATGGACACAGGCAATAATGGGGTGAAGGCCTCGGAGGGGGTGGGAGCCAGGTTGAGGGGATTAATAAAGGAAAAAAAAACGGGACACCTGTAATGCTTTCAATAAAGACACATTTTTAAAATATATGTTTATTGATTTTTAGAGAGAGAGGAAGGGAGAGGGAGAGAGATAGAAACATTGAAATGAGAGAAATATCATTTGGCTGCCTCCTGCATGCTCCCTACTGGGGATCAAGCCTAAAACCCAGGCATGTGCCCTGAGCAGGGAATGGAACTGGCAACCTCTTGGTGCATGGGACAAAGCTCAACCAACTGAGCCATACCAGCTGGGCATTAACACTGTTTGATAACAGGTCTGGATTATAATCTGTTTGGTCGAGTAGCTCAGTTGGTTGAGTGTTGTCCTGCATACTGAAGGGTTTCTGGTTCAATTTCCAAGCTGAGCACATGGCTGGGTTGCTGGTTTGATCCCCAGTTTGAGTATCTATGGAAGGCAGCAGATCGATGTTTCTCTCACACACTGATGTCTCTCTCTTTCTCGCTCTCTCATCAAGTCCTTGGGTGAAGATTAAAGAAAAGTAAAACAAAAAAATAAAAATAAAAATAATTATCTCTGAATAAGGGTATAGACATATATATATTTTAAAACAAATCTCACAACATTCTGGAAAAGCAAAGCACATTGTGCTTATCTCCACCTTTCAAAGGGCTCTGGCTGTTGCAAGCGGCATCTTGCTCAGAGCTGCATCTCAACACCAGCTTAGTGGTTTCTATGGCTGCTGACGGTGGGCCTGCTGCTCTCATCATTCTTCAGATTCCCACAGCTCTTTTCCCACAGCTCCATGATCTGAGCTATGAAATCATTCGTTTCTCACATTAATTTAAGAGACTTCTTGAAGAAGGAGACTAATTCTAATTTCTCTCTGTAATAAAAGTCTGGCATATAGTAGGCATAGAATAAATGCATGCTAAGTGAACATTTTTATATCTTTAAAAAACTGCTATATTTAAAATAGTCTAAGATTTTGATTGGTAAAGAACATAGAGGTGTGTTTTTTTAAAAAAAATGTTATACTTTTACCAACTTCAAACTCATATTGGTGTTTTAGTTAACTGAATGATTTTTGCACTCATTTGCTCACTCATTAATTAAAATATTTATTTAGTACTATGAACCCAGGAGCTACAGTATGTTTGAGAGAAAATGAAATGATGAATATAATACAATCCTTGTCTTCTCAAGGCTCAAAGGTCTGGTGGGGAGGACAGGCACATTTGACGTCAAATAATGCAGATAAGCGTTAAAACGGGAAATAGATTAAGCACCACAAGTAAAGAGGCACAGAGGAGGAAGCCAGCCTATCTGCAGAGACCACTGAAGGCAACTGGGAAAACTGTGCTGTGACAGAAACAACACTAACTAGAAGCCATGAGTTCTAGACTTGGCTTTTCTACACAATTCAAGCAAGTTACTTAACCTTAGTAAAGCTCAAGTTTGTTAACTATAAAGTTGGAATAGTAATACTTGCTACAATCACTTGTGTCTTGGGTTGAGAACAGCCAAAACCTACTCTAGTTAAGTTAAAATAATAGGGATGTGCTGAAAAGATATGAGATGGCTAGTTGGGGAAGAGGCTGAAAAGCCTTCGGGAAAGTGGGCAGAAACGAAGCAGTCCAGCGGGACGCCGGGGTTGCCTCTGCTGGCCCTGGAAAGCCCGCTCCTTCCACAGCTGCAGGCACACCCTAGGTAGGCGGGGCCCCAAGCTCTTCCCAGGATATCTAATCCGGTCCTTTCCAGGAAACCCTGAGGCAGGGTCTCTCATGGGCTCAGCCCAGTCACATGACAGCTCTGAGCTGCCAAGTTTGGACAAGATAATGGCTGCTTTCCTTTGATTTAGGGGGACAAGGTGGAGCCCTACCCTCCATCAGTTTTTATCTCAGGACTTTCCCCAAAGGGTCTTGGAAGGCTGGGCAAGCAGAAATGACAAACACCCATCACACTTCCCTCCTCACTGGGTTGTTGTGAAGATGAATGTATGAGGAAGAGCTTCATAAACTAAAATTGCAGGGTTTTTTTTTAATATGTCATTATTTCAGAGAAAGGAAGGGGAAAGGAGAGAGAAATAGAAACATCAGTGATGAGAGTCATTGATCGGCTGCCTCCTGCACGCCCCCTACCGGGGATCCAGCCCTCAGCCCTGGCATGTGCCCTGACTGGGAATCGAACCNCCCTCCTCACTGGGTTGTTGTGA